ACAATCAGAAACCAAGCTGAAAGAATCGGTGATGTGGCCAAGTAAACAACAGAGGCTGGTGGGAGGTGCGATGATGTGATGAAGAAGCTTCTTCAGAGCTTGAAGAAGCACTAAACAAGTGAATTTCCGTTCGTGTTTCTGTCAGTCTCTATTTATGATGGAGGTGTTTACATTTTAATATATTTGATAAATAATTATGTAATTTATTTTTTAAAAAGTAAAACATTAATAAATCAAGGAGTGTCTTAGGATTAAGACCAACTAAACTGAGAAACCACCAAAGCCTCGCCTGACACTTGGTTTGAAGGATCATTTAAATGCCTTACCTTCAAACAATAACGCGTCCTATGCACCGCCAAATATTGGAATTCACATAAGATTAATAATAACTTATGTGATGGATTTTTAATAACTTTCAATTTTTTTTAAATAATATTGGTTGTCCCTTGTTCCCATATGTAATGGGGTATGGGATAAGGGAGGAAAGATAGTAGGTTGTCCCCAATACCAGATTGTCACTACGCATAAATACTTGACCTCAATCAATCACGAGACTTTCCGAACCACCATGCGAGCCTCTCTATTCTTCCTTACCTATATTTGTATCAACAAATCCAAATGTATATTTTGTAAAATAAAAAATATATTGTCAAGTGATGCACGTAGCCGAGTGCTTCGAGCGCGTAGGAACCATGATTCATAGGATTAAAGTTGGTGGACTTAAGTGGAAAAGAATGTCGATAAAAGCTAGGGTTACTCTTATAAAAGATAAGAAACGCTTGAGGAGAAGATCAACGATGCACATCAATGTTGGAACATTTAAGATTTTCCACAAATCCAAACATTCAGTTTAGGCAAAGAGAAGTCAATTTTACCTAACAGGGTTTCACCTTACAAGAACCAAATCATACAGTATTAAACATGACGAGAAATATACACATTTCTTGGTTTGATAAAAAGAACACTCCTTAGCAATACATTTACGTCGTTATATGAAGCCTCACCCTACTACATGGTTATTTCATTTCTTTGCAAGCAACTTCTTTGGAAGCTTATCGAAAGGGGTAGACTTTAGCAAGAAAAGACGAGCAGCTCGCTCTTGCAATGTACCACCGCATTTTAGTCCGCGTGCCAGCAGTTCAGATTTCAGCCGCTCCAATCCAAGAGCCTATAGAAATGATAAAACAGTTAACGATATATCATCGTTAAGCATTGTAAAAGCAACAGCATCACCATGAGGCCCATGACAATTCAATTCATATACTGATTTTAAATTTCACTCCATGGTATCTTTTCTTCAATTATTCAATTTGTCTGGCCCAACAACTTTGTACACAAGAACATGAAGACAAAGCTAAAATAACATCAAATAGCTATGGCCAAGTTTACTTGGGCTAAAGGAAAGCATTTGATAAAATTGCAACAACTACAAACTGCTGAATATCCTATATCATCTAGGTACGCAATCATTGAGTTGATTGAAAGAAGTATTTTTTTAACGAGCTAGATGTATCAATGGTATTGATCTTTATTAGTATTAAGCCTAGAAAACAGGTAAAAAACTTCAAGTGTTCAACCATACCTCCATTTCTTCTGAAGAATTGAAGTCGTTAAAATTCAATGGCTTTTCTGGTTCTGTAATGTTAGCATTTGAAACAACTGTTTCTTTGTGAACTTCTGATTCTGGTTTAGAAGAGCAATTGACTTCATTATTAAGTTCACTTCCAACTCCTCCATTTTCTGCAACTGGAACACTGGAATGTTGACCGAATATTTCGGCCGGATCTTCCGTTTTAGTTCCAATATGTTCCAGCATCTCATCAGCTTGAGCTGCTTCACTTCCAGCAATGGCATCTGCTTCAACCATGGCAGGAGCATCATCACCACAAGATTCCGAGCTTTGCTGCAGAACAACCTCTTTCTCTTCCTCAGAGCCAGTCTCACTTGAGGCTCCACCTGAAAATTCCATATGGATCATATCCTGATTTCCCACCGAAACCAAACCAGAACTCTCCTCGGTTCCCTTGCTAGAATCAGAATGATTCCCATTTTTCAAAACTACAGATTTCTCATTCTCTTCTTCATCCTCACTGCTATCATCACTATCATTCTCATCCACTTTCCTTTTCCCCATCCTAAAAGAGCAAAGAAAAACGAATAAATGATCAAAAACATTAATACCAACCAAAATTACCAGCAAATTAAATTATCTTAAGAACTTACCAAATCTTCAATTTTTTGGGGTCAGCTCCTCCCGTCACCATCTTCCGCTTTCCATTTTGGCACGCTGCCCTAACGGACTCTTCAACCACCGCCACACACCTCGCTGATTGCTCCCTATACTTCGCTACATACTTCTCGGCCTCTCCATCTCCAACTCCCTTTTTCCCAGTTTTTGCTTTCTTCTTAATAAAATCTTCCGCGATCTTCTCCAATCTCCTCTGTTCCTCCTCCGCTTTCCACTCCTCCAACCTCTTCTCCGCGTTCACATGCCTCAGCCTCCTCCCGCTCATGTCTCGGCACGCCTCGAAATTGCTCGTCTTTTTTTGCCCAGCCTTCGTGGCTGCGCCACGTAGCAGCGATCCGAAACCTCCTTTGCCACCAATAAGCCGGAGGGAGAGATTGAGGGTGGCGTTGGAGTGGGAAATCTCCGAATCGTCATTGAGTTGATGGCCGCGAATCAGGCGCTGGAAGTTGATAGGGATTTTGCTAATTTCATGAATTCGGTGCTTGACATCGCCGACTTGGATTTGAGGGGTCGGGAATTGGAGTGACAAAGTCCCGCCATTGAGAAGTTTAACGAACAGCTGTAGCTGCCTTGGGTTGAGATCCTTGTTGTTGACATCGTTTCCGATAATTTGATGATCTTCCATAACCGATACGTGATTTGAGAGAAAAACTTCTTTGTTCCGTCTAAAACGAATTTGGGGATCGAGAGGAAATTAGGGTTGGGAATTGGTATCCCGATTGAAAGGAAAGCTTAATTTCCCAGAGTTCAAATTTATATGTTAACATAATTGGTATTCGGGTCAACTCCACCGGATGTGGGTAACCCTAAAAGAAAAATGTCAAATATTTGTTTTAGTCCATTTTCATGCAAAACATTGAAATTTAACCCTTTTATAAGCAAACAGCACAGGTACATTGGGTGCAAGATGGGGACTTAGGCACCAGATTCTTTCATTCTATGGTTGATAAAAATAAAATGAGGAAAATGGTTCGTTTACTTTATGATGGAGATGGTAATCGTTTGGAATAATTTGAAGCCATGTCTAGTGAAATGGTTCGATTTTTCACTAATCTTATCGGCAGGCGTGATCCTAATGTCCAAGACTGTTCTATGGAGGTTCTTAAAGATTTGGTGGGCAGGGGCTTGCCAGAGTCTGATGAGCCTGAGTTGACTAAAGAGGTGACAGTGTTAGAAATCAAAGAGGTCTTATTTCGTCAAGGTGATGATAAAAGCCCAGGTCCATATAGGTTCACTGCTGGCTTCTTCAAGGCTATGTGGGAGCTTGTCATTGATGATTTTTTGGCTGTTGTTCGATTTTTCTTTCAGAATTCCTCTGTGTTACCTGCTTTTAACGCCATGGTCATGGTCCTTATTCCCAAGGTGCCAAATACTTCCATGGCTAAGGACTTTTGTCCTATATCATGTTGCTCTGTGGTATATAAAACAGTCACCAGGATTCTTGTTGGCAGGTTGGCTAGGTTCTTTCCTAGAAGGATCGACATTCACAGTTGAGGTGCATGAAGGAAGCGATTCTATTTTACATTTTAATTTCTGCTTAGGAATGAACCTTGTTTTTATTTTATGAATTACAATAAATGTATTTTATTATCGGTATTAGTTCATCATTATATGCCTGGATTGAACGTTGTTCCTAGATTAATTATTTTTTTTATAAAAACAATTAATTTTATTCAAAAATAAAAAAAGATTTCAAATTATAATAAAGATTTACACCCGTAATAGTAAATTAAGCACATAATTAGTAACAATTCATATAATCATTAAAACAAAATTATCAACTTAAGATTATATAAGAACTATACAATGAAAGATTAAAAATCTAACTAAGAAACTCGAACAAAGATAAATATAAACAAATCTGATTGCATCGGCAAATGAACTACAAAAGGGAATCAAGCTATTGAAAGACCAATGAAAAACCGTAAATCAGACTCGAGCAAGGTGGAAAGTTATCTACAAAAGCAAATCGGGTATCTACATCTAATCTGAAGGTCCAATGCAGGGAAGATCAAGAAGATATTAGATAAGCGTCATCCTGATCAATCGTGACAATATCAAAACAATCCTTAAGAAAAAATTAATAAAAAAACATGTCAATTAACATAAGAAAATGTCATAAAGACATATGAAAACATGTCGATAAACTTATTTAAAATCAAAAAAATTAAAAGATATAGATATAATATTAAAAAATGATAAAATATCGATGGTCGACGACTAATGTTAAATTTAATGTCGCCACCCATGTACAAAGATGAAAAAAAAAGAAAGGAAGAGACGACGGGACAGCCTTAATTACTTCCTTTTATCTATTCAGTTTTTAGCTTAATAAATTGAATTAAAACAAAACCATTATGCGCTTCTTTTCATGTGCTAGTCATTTTAATTATTTTATATAAGTAATCTAATTAATTATTTATAATATTATATAAATCAAATCAAAGGTTAAACTAATTAAATTTTTTATTTTTAATTAAATTAAGTAAACCATAATTTAATATAAAATAGGATTTATATCAATAAACTTGTGATTTAACACGCTTTATCAAGCTTTCAAATGACTGAAATAATAGGTCAATAAACCTCAATTGTCAAATTTCCTAAAAGCTTGGGTTTCGGGTTAGCATGTTTGTCAAGTAATGTAAAGGTCAGAGTAAAAGAAATTGAATCTTTTGATTTAATTTGATCCGACTTAAAAAATATTGAAGTTTAAAGTAAATTATAAAATAAATTTAAATAACTTGAATAATTTAAAATTTGCACAATTATTATAAAAAGGTTTCTTTGAATACCCTTTTCCCTAAACACAATATCTACTTTCTCCTTGATGTACATTAACCTTTTCTTCCAGGGCTTTCTCTGCACTCTGATTTTCAAATACAAAATTACATCAGTTCAGTTCTGCTACGACACCCAACTTACAAAGTTTCCCAAACATAGTTTCAGTCCCTAACAAACAACTACCACTACTATTTCATCCCTCTACCAACTGTCAGCAGTAGTTTGGGGCTTGTAATTATGCCAAAACTACATGCTTCTGCCCGACTTAAAATGTCAAAATTAACTCGGCTGTAAATTGTTTTCACTTCCTCAGCTGGCGGCCACTGCGTCGGTTCTTGGACTCGCGTCCAGGAGTTGATGCAGCTTGACACCGGACTTTTTCTTGTACATTTCACCCTCTTTGCCTTCGTTTTTGTGCGTAGTGATTTCCTGTGCCTGTCCCAGTTTAGAAGCTTTCAGTCCCTCCTGTATATTACAAGAGGCAAGGTTAGTTTAAGGAGATAAATCAGGCATGTCGTAAATTAAAATAAAATCGAAAAAGTTGAGGAAGCTTAAAGTGCGTACCACTAATGTAGCATTTTCTACCCTTAGTTTCTCTGATTTTTCAGTTAGTTGATTTATTTCAGATCTTAGTGTCGCATTCTCTGCAGTCAAGTACTCGACTTTACGGGAGAGCTCTTCCGTCTCAGCCTACAAAATAATAATATGGCATTTGCTTCACATTATTCATTGTTATACCTCAAATCTGGTAAAAAGGCTCAAAGAAACCATGCGAATACCTGCTTCCTCAACCTTGACCTTCTAGCAGAGTCTCTATTTGATTGTTTCCTCCTCTCCCGTTTCAGCTCCCGTTCATTCTAGTTAAATTTCATGTACGTTAGCAACGGCTTAAGATAGCACAACCCATTGACTCAATGTATAAAACACTAAAAAGTGCATTGACTACTTCAGAAAGAAACAAAATGGGTTCAAATTATACACAAGCTAAAAAGTATATCTTAGATAAGCTGAACAGTAGTAGAAATACAAGAAATGCACCCACAAATACCTGCATCCAGACTTCAGGAGGCATTACTGCACAAGGTACGTTCGTAGGTCTAGACTTAGGATTCATAGAGGGAGGGTTCCTAAGCTCCAATGTTGTGCTCATGCCACGAGAAAGTACAGCTCCAACTGGTTTAGGACAAATAGTTGTAGTTACCTCCACCAGAGCCTTTGCCTCATTTTTCCCATCTCCACCTGATACAACAGAGACAATACATCAATAAACTAAACCTCCAGACATGGAGGTGACCAAATGTATCCCCAGATGGAATTTTCTTTTTTCATTTTCTAACACAAGTTACTTTTAGGAATCACAAAAAAACTTCTAATTATCAGGGACATGAACCAAGCCCAGTAGGGCACGTTAAAGGAACCATGCAATTGCAAAATGCCTCAGATTTGACAATCATCCACTACTATACAGAAGTCTGATTAAAACATCACGTGAACTCTATTATTCATCAAGAATATACATGGTGAAGAATGGAGTCATACCAATGGTTGGTGTTCCCTCCCTGCTTCTTTTCCGTCTACTTTCATCCGTCTGATCAAAGATGCACAGTGATAAAAATAAACTTTAGCACTCTATCCTTAAATCATTTTCTAACTTACAGTCGTATAAAACTAAAACCAAAAAAGATGTTGGAAAACAGGATAACCAGATGGGAAAGAGATCTCACCCCCGTCGTATTTCCATCACTACCATCGGTAGAAGCTTCAGTCTCCGCACTGCACACATTATCAAAAAAAAAGTCAAAATAAGAGGAAAAAGAACTTGGCTTTGTGATCTCTAACAAATGAGTTGCTATGGCAAAGTTCTTTAATCTTCTTAATAAATTACTAGTTGGCCTTGAAAAGATTAACAAACCTCTGGGACATTCTATGCTTGGCTGCACCCTCATCGTTCTCAGCAGTACCATTACCTATTGACATAGCAAGGCTATCAAATCCTTTCATCTTCTTCGTTAAACCGCATTCTGTATTTCCTGATGACTTTGAAGGAGTTTCCACGGCGGTGGCAGTCTGCAGTGCAATGCTCCGGTTATATTCAGCATATGCTAAATACAATAAGCAAAAAGTAACAACTCCCATTAAATCAGTGTATGTGCATGGGCATAAAAAATAGACATGAATAAAAACAAAATAGCAGCAGTTCAAGATGAATCACTCAACAGACAACCAGAGTTCCTGCAGGAGATGGTGGAATATCATGTCCATCTTATCCTTGGATTTCAAGAGCAATCAGATAAAAAATACATTAAGGTATAATACAGTACAATAAAACCAGAGTTTCGGTGTTATTTAGCACTCAAATAATATCCTAAAGGGGAAAAACGCATATTTTCTTTATTGTTTTGTTAACTGTACTATAAGGAACTTGCTGAGTATTACCAAGTTGATAGTTGTATAAAATAGACAGCTGTATAGAAATAAGGCAGAAAGAAAAGGGGAATTATGCAACTGTACATGCACTATCCAAATTCAAACCTCTGAAAAGCTAAGCTCCTAGATGATTTGGTACAAAATTAATACTGTACTCAAAAAGATAGTGACAAAGTAAACTTACTAAAGGAACTGCAGGATGGGCATAAACTCCCCCATGCGGGTAGATTGTTGCATAAGGTGCCCCATAAGGCGGCATCATAGGCTAAACGAAAAAAACAAATCAGTATTTTTAATAATTATTTACAGAAACAAATTAGTAACTTAATAATTATTTACAGAGTTATTCAATGATGAACTTAAATAAAAGTTAAATGCCTTGGAGCTGTGGGCAATACCTGTGGAGGACCCCACATATAAGGGTGAGGAGCATGGCCAGAGGCCACAGCTGAGTTGTAATATGGTGGCATAGTGACTCGAGGACCATAATATGCCTATATACGCAATAAAGAACCATAAAATCCCCATTGGCAATTTCATTAGCAATATAGTTTAGAATATGAATATATGGTGAAAAACTTAGTGAGAGAAGCTCCTCCTCCTCTCTAAAAATCAGGTGTTTTGGATAAGTTTTTCTATTTTCATTTCTTATCATTTCTCTTAATGGCGAGTAAGGTGAGAGTTCCGGTTGGGAAAAACTGTGCAACTGTGATCATTTTCAACATTCCAGAGAGTTTTCATTACAAAGGTCTTTGGTTATTTTTCGATAAATATGGAGAGGTGGTGGATTCTTTCATCCCCAATAAAAGAAGCAAGGGAGGAAGTAGGTTTGGTTTTGTTCGTTTCACCAAAACTGGAGGACGCGAGGAAGGCTATCAACTGTGTTGATAGATCTTGGATTCAAGGCAACAAAATTAGAGTATTTATGGCGAGATATCTTCCTCGTGATGTTTTCTGGAGGAAGAAGTTCTCTGGTCCTCATTCAGTCGAGGGAAACAATGTAAGGAAGGATGTTAGTCACACGGTGGCTCCCATTGCTAGTTCTGTTGACGACAGTAAATTCTCAACTCTCAAAGACAGCTTGTTAGGATGGTGCAGAATTTTTATTAAGTGGGTAGAGTCGTCTTCTTTTGAAGAGGCAGTCGTATCCCCGTTATCCAAGGTGAGGGAGCTCGTTGGTGCCTTTCCAGTTAAGTTTCCTAAGCTGGAAGAGGGTTCTAAAGAAGCTAGAAGATCCATTCACTTTTCGGAGGTGCAGTCGGCCGTGAGGTGTTCTGAGAATGAAGAAATTTTTTTTCTGCTGTTTGGGGACTAGTGCTAGAGGCAGCCTCCTGTCGGGTGAGGGTGTGGAGGACAGGAACATAGGAGAGGCTTTGATGATGGGTCCGAGGAGCGACGTTGGGGGTTAGAGGATGGTTCTTTCCTAAATGGAGGGAGTGGGGGAACACAAGACATTGTTGGTGCATGCGGAGAGAGAAGCAGTGGATGTCTTTAAGGACACTTGTTTGCCTGCACGTGGTTTTGTGGAGAGTAAGGATTTTTTAATTAATTCTCCCATCCAGGATGGTCTCTTAGTGTCAAAGGAATTGGAAGATGTGAGCCTAAAGGATAAAGTGGATCTGTTGGTTCACGTGGAGAAGGATAATGAAGTTGCCTTTAGGAAAAATAGTAGTCTGCATGTGCTTTTGTAGGCTCAAAGGATTATTTTAATGATTTCCCCATGTTGGATGGACGGGTTGAGATTAGGGAGGTGGAGGAAGGGATTCACGAGGGTTGTTCTTACAACTACGCATTCGTAAATCCAAAGGGTATCGCAAGGCAGTACATGAGACCTAAGGTGGGTTCTGGCAACAAATTTAGATCTAAACAATTTTTTCAAGGGAATTTTACAGCTCCTAAAAGAAAGTATAGGGGTTCCCGAAGCAAGAGCCATCAGAGTAAGGTGCATTGGGAGGAAGAGGTGTCTGTTTTTGATGGCAGATTCACTTATGAATCTGATTTTCCAGCATTGGGGCAGTCTCAACAGAAGGATACGTTCAATTCCTTGCCTTTTGGGAAAGATTTGGGTTGTGAGTCTAATGGCGCAATAGTGTATCTATTGTCGGAAGACGATGGCGGGGGAAGGAGTAGAAGGTTCAGGTGATCTACACCATGCTTTTTGTCTGGAGCTGGAAGTTCGGACGGTCTTTAGCCAACAAGACGTGGTGATGTGGTGGAAAGGCGGCTATATGAGTTTTTTTTTCTTCATGTGAAAGCTCCGTGGCCTTTGAGTTAGAAGTTGGCTTTTATGGTTTTAGTCAGCTGTCACCCTTGGCTTTTTTCTGGTTGTTTTGTTTGATTGAGTGTCTATCGGGCCTCGTTTAGGTTTTTTGTTTGGCCAGTCTTTTTTAGGCTGTTGTTGTTGCTTTGTTGGATTAGGCTGGTTCTGGTAGGATTGTTGGTGGCTGTTTTTTGTGTTTTATTCATATTGGGGGTGGCTCCCTGGTTGTATCGTGTTCTTTCTATGGTTAATAAAATCTTAAGGCACTCTTTTCCTCCTTCCGTTGATTAAGGAGCTTCTCAATAAGCTCCTTTAATCATGAAGGAGGTTTTTAACGAGGCCTGCAATTCCTATCAAAAAAAAATTAGGAATATAGATTGGGCATTTTAATTGAATAAATGCCTTAACAACAGCAGTGGGAAAGAGTGAAGTAGGTGCACGAATAAGAAGATAACCTGCATGGCTGCCCAATTGGGATAGACATGAATATTGGCCTGATCCTGTGAATGGAAAAGTATTGACCGATACTATGAATATGAGCATAAAAAATTAATAGATTCAATACAAAGCAAATTGTGCAACTACTACTTTAGAGATCCATCTTAATTCAATTAAACATGCATAAGCTCTTAGCTTACAGTTGGCACCGATGAAGATTTTTCTGACTTGGACTTTCCTTCCTCATTGTTTCCCATTGTCAGGCACCAAATTTGGAAACCTATTTTCTAGAAATTTGTTTGCCTCTCTCTGTCAACTGCAATCAAGGAGAGAAACATGAAGTTGCACATCACAGCAAATTTTCTCAAGAGCAATAGGAAGGGTTCAGAAATAGGATTAGCAAGCAAAATGGAGTTAAATGGTTCAGAAAGTTTTTTTTCTCCATTACTCTTTATGCAAAATATAAGCCAATGGTTTGATTTTTAGAAGGCCAGTATCCCTCAAGTTGGAGTGCAGACCCAACGAATAAGATGTTATTCAATGTTTAAAAACACACCATCAAAATAACCAAAGCTAAACCTGTAATCATTGAAGGCTTGGTGCATGTCAATAGCTACCTATAGCAACAAACATGATTTCCAGATATCTAATTTCATCTTCGGATTAATCCAACCAGCTTATCATATACAACTCTACATAAATTAAAGCAAGTACAGTATGATGTAATTTGGTGTTCTATTTCATAATATCTTATCAAATTTCACCAAAGCCTTGACGGGCTATTTAAATATTGGATTTTAAGTGCAAAAAATACAACAAGATATAGTCTTCTACCAACATAAACCAATATTGAAACTTGACTCATCGTAAGACTTAACTTTGGTAATATAAGTTGACACAAAAGGATGAACACAAATAGGCTACTTTTGAAAAGTTATTGCAACTAAACACTAGGATTATCGCCAACAAAGGGTTTTCATTCAGTTTCAAAACATATAAATTTTCGTCAACAAAATAATCCCTGAGAAGAAAGGAGAAAATCTTTGAATTTTATGTTCACCAAAAAATTATTAAAAAAAAAATCCTTCAAATGAAGAGATAGGAGAAAGGTTCTTAACCCGGAAAAAAATAGGGGAAGGTGAGGGTATAACCGACTTTCAAGTACCCACACCTCAAAGTAAAGATCAATTGCAAATTTTGAAATATAATCCACCGGATTAATATGTCAACTAAACGACAAAAATACCCTTGAGACCGAGGTCGAAGATTTCAGCACTCATCCTGCAAGCTTTTCTCTAAGCAATAAAATTTTGAGTTTTGAAAAACTAGTTTTCTTAGTAGATAAATCTAGGGAGAATCATCTATCGGTTAAGTTCTGGTTCAGTTTTCAACGTCTAATTCCCCCCTCTCAATTTCTTTGCTTCGACAATTCTCCTTGAAAATTGTTCTAAATATTTCGGGCAAAAAAGTCATGCAGATTCGATGTTTCTTATCACAAATTACGACGAACTTAAATAGATCCATGAAAAAGAAGATTGCTAAAAGTATCTAAAAGGACCGGAAGATGAAGGACGTATATGAATTACTTTAATAAATCCAACAAAATACCTTTTATATCTATTGAAATGGTTTAGTTCAGTAAAGAGCTAGAGACACTATTTTTTCACATAACAATTAAAAACTTGAATTGAATCCACTGCCCTACATTACCTCACCAATCTTTTAAAAGTAAAACACCAGATTCCAGAACTAGATTTAATTCGCAAAGACAAAATTTCCCGCAAGTTCATCAGCCCTCCAAACAACCAAACAAAACCAAAATGCACTAATCCACCACTTAGTAAATATTTTTGGAAAACCCTAAAAAACAATTACCGGAACTTTAACTTCAACGTACCTTGAAAATCCGAATCCAGAAATCCTCTACTCAGAAGCGAAATTGGACAACCCTCAATTGTGAAAAAGGAAAAAAGAAAAATTATAAAACAAAATAGTTAAAAGGACTGCATTATATTTATATTCACTCGAAAACAAAGAGAAACACGATTGAGCATTTTTTTTTTCTTTCTTTTCCAAATCCGCAGGGAGATAGAGAGAGAGATTTGAGGAGGAGGAGAAGAAGAAGGAGAGCGGCAAGGCAACAGCCACGTCACCGAAAACGTGTCGTAGAAAAGCAAGCGTATAAATACAGCGTATATACGGAGGGGCAAAGTTGGTGGTTGAGTTGGCCCATCGGTATTCGCGCTGGCCAATTTTATTTTATTCAAACGTCAGATATCCGTACACGTGTTGTTAATCAGTCGATCTACGCATGTCGGGTAAAGGGGTCCAGCCTATTCCACCCGTCATGTGGGCTTACGTGGTCATGTTTAGTGATTTAAGTAGAATGAACAAATCTTTTGGAATCCACCAATAGCCACTTGTTGATGACCTAATTCTAATTGGGGCCGTAACCCACGCTTTTGTCACGTAGGCATTATATTTTTAATATTTATTTATTGATTTTTTTTACAATTGTCAATATCATAATTATATATTTAACGACTTATTTGTGAGTTTAAAAACATATATCTTATTACATCAATTTTATTTGCTTTCATAAAAGAACGATTTAATATATATATATATATATATGTGGAAGTTTATCTTAAACAAATACAATGCTAGCAAATTTCTTTATTGTTTATAGAAAGCCTTTTATGATATAAATTTTAGAGAACGTTTTCATATTGTTTATACCACCTAAACACAACTAGGAACCACATAGAATTGACAAAAATTAAAAAAATATATTATAACAAATATCATTCAACTTTAAATAATATAATGTTTATACCATTAAACTTTTAATTGCTTTAATTATAGCATTAAATTTTAATTTTAACTCCAGTTAAATCATTAAGGGTGTGTTTGGTTTACAAAATGTAAGATTACCGCTGGGAATAAGATTATTGGAATGTTGCATTTTATGTTTAGTTGGTTTTGCAAGAATGTAAGATTACCATGTTTGGTTAAAGGAATAAAAGATTATTGAAATGTATATTTGACCAATTGTTCTTATTGTATATTTGTTTTTTAACAAGTTGAAAAATATTTATATATTTTCTTAAAAAATTTAAATTAAAAAAATTTATATAATTTTTTTTACAAAATTGAAAATATAAAAAGGTTTAATGAAAGGGTAAAATTTTATTTTAACCCCTTAACTTCATATAAAATTTTAATTATAGATTTTTTTTTGTAAATCTAAAATAGTTTAAGGATAAATTTGTAATTTAACCTTCGTATAATTTTTATTATTCAATGACAGAAGAATGATATTTTTGAAAAAAAAATTAAGGGCATTTTAGTCAAAAACACCGGTAATCCAACAATACATAAGGAAGGGGAGGTAATGACATTCCCGCTAATATACGCAAAAAAATCTACTATTGTTAATCTTACATTACCGGGAATGGGATTCCCAGGCTAACCAAACGGGGGAATATAGATTTCATTCTCATGGGAATCCACATTCCTCATCCAAACGCCCCTTAAGTTGTTAAATTCCAAAGACGTAATGACTTTGACATATCATTCTATCATTATAATAACATGGACAAAACGATGCCATTTTGATGTGATTATCTATGTTCAAAATGATATCGTTTCAGACGCTAAACTTTAGAAGTGTATCGTTTTATCGCTGGACTTCTAGATAATTCACTTTTTTGTACGAATTTTTTTCGGTCATAATTGGTAGTCAATTGTCACTTATCACTAATCTTCATTTGCATCAAGATTAACACTAAAATTTTTACATTTTACTCTTATTTTTTTCACGTGATTGAATTTTTATGAGACTAACTCAAAATCAACAAAAATTAATCTAAAGGTTCAACATGTCAATAATTTGGTCTCCTCCAATGATTTTGACGATGCTAATTTTGAGTTATATATTAATGTCTCAAGATAATACTTCTCACCGTTTTGAATTTTGGAGGGGAAAATCAAACAACTAAAATTTGAGAAATCCTCGGACTCCAAAAAATTAGGAGTGTTCAAAAAAATATGAAATCGTTAACCGTAACTATTAACCGATATAAATATTATATTTAACATGTTAATTAACCGAACCGTTAATACTAAACAGTTTCGATTAATCGAACTGCTAAAACTTATAGTTAACAGTTAAAGTTACGAATTTTGATAATCGATTAACCAATAGTTAACCATTAATAAATTAAATTTATAATTAATTTCTAATTTATTATATTTTTACATAAGTAACTTGATATAATTTTATATTATTTAGTTTATATATATTTTTAATAAATTTATATACAAATAACTTAAAATATATAAATATTTATTTCTTTGAAAATATAAAACATACTTACACCAATATAATTTTGTGTTATGAGTACTTAAAAAAATATGTTTATTTTTAGGTATTACGTTATGAGCGATGTATATATTTACATCGGTGTAAGTATTTATTAAGTAATACATTATTTATTTTATTTACTTACACTGGCGTAAGTATTTATTAAGTGATACGTTTTTTTATTTTACTAAATTACACCGATGTAAGTATATGTTTTGTGTTACACCTTTTTGTAATATGAATTATGAAAAAAAATTCACAAATAATTGTAACATATTAACCGTATGTTAACCTTTAACCAAACCATTAATATCTGTTAATCATTAATAGTTTAATGTCCATGAACAACTCTTCAAAAAAGGGTAGAGTTTTTGTTTAATTTTGCTGAGTTTAGATGAATTTCATGGGAAAAAGTCTTAGAAAAAATAAAATGAACATATAAAATTTTAGAAACAAAAATAAATTATTAATAAAAGATATAAAAACAATTAAAATATATAATAAATTAAAATTTTAGGACCCAACCTGACTCCTTATCGATCCATCGGTATATCATACACCATTGAATACAACAAACATTTCCCAGGGATCCTGAATCCTATACACATATTTTTGTAAACCTTGTGTCTACCCATTAAAATCTTGAATAATGTACACTGATGTATATTTAGGAGTGTCGTATAAAAGTAGAGTTTAAAATTTAATTATTTGAAATTAATGTTAAAAATTGAATTTAAAATGATAAAACGTTTATTATAGACATTATATTTGTAAATTTAAAATATTATTAAATTATATTTACACTTATATAGGCATATCAATTTGAATTATAATAAATTCAAAAAATATTATTATATATGAATTATAATAAATCATATTATATAACTCACTATTAATATTTTAATATATAAATCATAAATTTTATTTATTTTTTAAGTAATGAAAATAAATTATTTTTAAGGGTGTTAATATTAAATTATTAAAATAAAATGTAAATACATAATTGTGTGGATCCCATGTATTAATAAGGGTAGAATTATTATTTGCTTTCAAACATAAAGTTAAAATTAAAAAATTAAAAATCTTAGTTTTTACGGTTAGTTTAAAACCATTGTTCCCCCAATTTTTTCGTTTAACATTAATTTTACTATTAAAACGTACATTTTAACTAAAAGTGTTTTTATAAAGTTTTACCAAATAGAGCCTAACTCAAAGTAAATACATGTTTTTTTATGTCTATCACACACATTTAGTTAAGTTGTTGCTTTTAAGCTTTTTATTACTCCACACTTGAGTTTCATGTCCTTTGTCAAATTATCATTCTCACTTAAGAATTAAACATCCAATCACACTCTCGAATTCTCACCATCAGGTCCTTATTGTAAAGTTAATTAATCAATCACTAATGGTATAGGTGCATATACGCGCCTCCCATACTAACCTACTATCTTACCTCCCCTTATCTCATTACATATGAGAACAATAGACAATCATTTTTTAATAAAAAATTACTTTCAAATAATTTTTTTTAAATCAAATATTTTAATCTCATGTTATTATTAAAATAAATAAAATAATATAATGATATTATTAAGAATATATTAGAAGATACTAAAATTTCAAAATAATTTTTTTAAAAATAATTTATGTTTTATTAATCAAACGTCCTTTAAAACAATTAATTCAGTTAACAATCACCGTCCATCTTTAATCTTTATGCTGAATCAAACTAACTTTCCCAAGTTTCTCAACCAAAGTGACGCCACGTGTACTACCACAGTTTTTCCATCCGATCAACAAATAAAAAAAGAGAGAAATCATCCATCTCTGACGTAAAGGTATCGACGGTCTAAATTTAGTGAATCGGAGGGATAAAAATGAACCACGATGCGAGGAAGAGATAAAGTATCCCACTGCTTAATACGTAAGCGGAGTGGTGTCCCCACATGCTCCGTCATATGTCGGTGTGTGTAAGTGGTCCCATCCAGCTCATGTTTACGCCGATTGGACCTTGTAGAGATCATCAGTGGCCCACGTGTCATCGCCATATCTCCACGTGGGAGGATCCTACGTCTTCCACTCCTCTAATTACTCCCCCTCTTAAACCTCCTTTTTATGCCCCAGAACTACATGTTTACAAAAAATTCGAATATTTGATTTTGTGTAAAAAAATATTCAAAATTAGATTTGGGAAAAATCGGTTTTTTTAAATCGAATCGGATATTTTAAAACCGGATAGTATGACCGGTTTGAGAAAAAATTGGACGACAAGATTTTTTACCGGATTAAAAACCGGTTTGAAAAAAACCAGATAAAAAACCAGTATTTTATCCGGAAAAAAATCCGGTCTGGAGTTTAAAAAATTGGATGATCGGATTTTTTACCGGATTAAAAACCGGTTTTTTTCAAACTGAAACCGGTTACATCATCCGGCCCTCCAAACGGGTTATGTCCGAACGATTTTTTTATAAACCAATTTTTTGACTTAGTGAAAAAACCGGATTGATTTTTATCCGATCCGAATCGAATTTAAATCCGGCTATGTGCATCTCTACCTAGAACCTTCCAGCTTAAACTGTAATTTAAAACAATAAATTAGTAATTTAAGCAGTCTACTTGATATTTTTTATATTTTAAAATACTTTTCAAATAATACAATTAAAAATAGTTTTTTAAATAATTT